AAAGGTGCTGAAAATTACGATTTGTTTTCCCAGTTACCAGTAAATGAGTTATACAGGCACCATCTCCTTAAGACCATTGAGAAAACGGATAAAGAAATGCTGTATCTGGACCGCCAAATCAGGAAAGCAGACCTAGAAATTCTACTTCTGGAGCGCCAGTTAAAGTATGTGTATTTCCTTTCACAGGTCAAACATGTTTATTTTTGTTTTAGAAACACTAATAGCCTTTTCCTTTCTTTTGTAGGGAGTAAAGAAGACCAAATGACTATATAATTTATTTCTCTGTTAAAACTGTTTTGAGTCCTTCCATCAGGGATGTCTGCAGGGAGGTTATTTGCAGCGTGACAAAGATCTTGATCTTCATTGGTGGTGAGCCTGGATCTAAGAGCTGGTCATCTTCAGCCAATCAGGACCAGGGACAGCGACCACATCCAAAAGCTGCCACAGAATTGGAGAGATCCTTCAGTGACTGCTACAGACTACTACATCCCTTGGTGCACAAAGGAACGCTATCAAAGATCCTCCCAGCTACCATGCTGTTAGGTTGAACATTTTTGCTATTTGGTGTTTCTACAACCATGCTGTTATTTGATGATCTTTCAGTGATGTTTTTCTATCTATTTTTCAAATTTTTTATTTAATTTGTTGTAGAAGAGCAGCTCTGCTTTTTCAAGAGTTCTCCTTCACTGTAAAGTGTCTCTTTTTGCCTTTGCTTTGCTACTGACGCACCTGGTGGACAAAATTGTTGGTGGCCCTGGTTTAAGGAAAGAAAAAAACATAATTGTCATGGGAATAGCTTGAATCAGACTAAAGTAATAATGATAATTCTATAAAAAAAATAGATAAATGAAGGTCAGACATTAATTTTTAACCATGCTTCAACAGAATGATAAAAGAAAATAAAATAAACCCATAAAACAGGCTAAGACAAAAATTATGGTACCCCAGGCTGAATATATTCAGCCTAATGCAACAACATTTTCATATTCTTGTCATACATTTATTTTTTCTCCTACCCTAAGCCCTTACGAACGCGCCACATCAGATTCAACAAACGTTAGTAACTTCAGTAAATGATCCTCATGAATGTGATGCAGTCCACCTGTGTGATTTACATAATCACCACCCATATAATTCTATATAAGGCTGGACAATAAGGCAGCAGAATTAAAGGACCAGAAAAAGACAGGCGGTGAAGAACTGTAAATGATGTGGTTGCACTGTTACAAAAGTAAAAAAAGAAAAATTATAATACAGATGAAGTTCAAAAAAAAGAAAAATGCTCCCCAACATCCCTGCTGCAAGTGTAATAACTAATCTGTTATCAGTGAATAAAAATTTCATTTATAATTGCACAGTTGCATATTAATATAATGATGTAGCTTACTAAAATTGGTTCTAGGTAAAACAAATATAGTAATTTAAGGAAAAATTTGATTTGGATAACAGCTGACTGATTGCACAGGACTCCTACTCTAAGTACGGAGCTTTCGTAGGTAAATTTGTAGCTGAGAGATTAGAAATCAGAGAAATATGGTGATTGCGATATTTTCTCCTAAATCACTCATACAAAGGATTTAGGAACAAATTTCTTCTTTTCTATTATGGTGAATCGCAACCAACGTTAAGGTGCATACCGCCACCGACTGTACAGACGTGTGCAGAAACCCAGGCTCACTTCACCTACATTCTATTTTTTTATTTTGTATTATAAGAAATACGTTTTTGGTACGAACAATTCTTATGACCAAAGGGACATTTTAAATCTAGGTGTTTCCACTAATTGGCAACACAGGTGTCTTCAATCTTCTAATCTGTCAGTGGTGCTATATATATATATATATATATATATATATATATATATATATATATATATATATATATATATATATATATATATACACTATATTGCCAAAAGTATTTGCTCACCCATCCAAATTATTGGAATCAGGTGTTCCAATCACTTCCATGGCCACAGGTGTATAAATTCAAGCACCTAGGCATGCAGACTGTTTTTACAAACATTTGTGAAAGAATGGGTCGCTCTCAGGAGCTCAGTGAATTCCAGCGTGGAACTGTGATAGGATGCCACCTGTGCAACAAATCCAGTCGTGAAATTTCCTCGCTCCTAAATATTCCACAGTCAACTGTCAGCTGTATTATAAGAAAATGGAAGTGTTTGGGAACGACAGCAACTCAGCCACGAAGTGGTAGGCCACGTAAACTGACGGAGCGGGGTCAGCGGATGCTGACGCGCATAGTGCGAAGAGGTCGCCAACTTTCTGCAGAGTCAATCACTACAGACCTCCAAACTTCATGTGGCCTTCAGATTAGCTCAAGAACAGTGCGCAGAGAGCTTCATGGAATGGGTTTCCATGGTCGAGCAGCTGCATCCAAGCCATACATCACCAAGTGCAATGCAAAGCGTCGGATGCGGTGGTGTAAAGCACGCCGCCACTGGACTCTAGAGCAGTGGAGACGCGTTCTCTGGAGTGACGAATCGCGCTTCTCCATCTGGCAATCTGATGGACGGGTCTGGGTTTGGCGGTTGCCAGGAGAACGGTACTTGTCTGACTGCATTGTGCCAAGTGTAAAGTTTGGTGGAGGGGGGATTATGGTGTGGGGTTGTTTTTCAGGAGCTGGGCTTGGCCCCTTAGTTCCAGTGAAAGGAACTCTGAATGCTTCAGCATACCAAGACATTTTGGACAATTCCATGCTCCCAACTTTGTGGGAACAGTTTGGAGCTGGCCCCTTCCTCTTCCAACATGACTGTGCACCAGTGCACAAAGCAAGGTCCATAAAGACATGGATGACAGAGTCTGGTGTGGATGAACTTGACTGGCCTGCACAGAGTCCTGACCTCAACCCGATAGAACACCTTTGGGATGAATTAGAGCGGAGACTGAGAGCCAGGCCTTCTCGTCCAACATCAGTGTGCGACCTCACAAATGCGCTTCTGGAAGAATGGTCAAAAATTCCCATAAACACACTCCTAAACCTTGTGGACAGCCTTCCCAGAAGAGTTGAAGCTGTTCTAGCTGCAAAGGGTGGACCGACGTCATATTGAACCCTATGGATTAGGAACGGGATGTCACTTAAGCTCATATGTGAGTCAAGGCAGGTGAGCAAATACTTTTGGCAATATAGTGTATATATAGGGCTTGGTGACATGGATTGTTCCATGGACAGATAAGAGGTCTATGTTCACTGATGGAAAAATTAAACTTATCAAGACAAGAAGACTGTCCCTACTGTGAAACACGGAAGAGGCTCTGTTATTCTCTGTGGCTGCTTTGCTTCATTTGGCACAGGGTGTCTTGATAACCTGCAGGGTAAAATGAAATCTAAAGATTATCAAGGGATTCTAGAGAGAAGTGGGCTGCTCAGTGTCAGAAGCTTGGTCTCAGTCGCAGGTCATTGGTCTTTTAACAGGATAATGTCCCAAGAGAGGAAAACAATGGGCTATTCTGAAGTGCTCTATTATGACCCTGACATAAATCCTGTTGAGCATCATTGGAAGGAGCTGAAACATGGTGTCTAGGATAGGGACCCTTCAAACTGGAGACAACTGGAGCAGTTTGCTCATGAGGGTTAAAAATCCCCGCTGAGAGGAGCAGACATTTTATTGACAGCTACAGGAACTGTTTGATTTCATCGACTGACTCAAAAGGTCGTGCGAAATGTTAAGTGTACCATCATTTTCTCCAGGCCTGTTTCATGGGTTTGTTGTATTTTTTCCCTCTGTTGAAGCATGGTCAAAAAGCAGCTCCTGACTTTCATTTTTCATAGAATTTTGATTTATTTCTCTCAGATTCAAGTTATTTTAAGCGACCATTGTGTTTTTTTTTTTTTCCTTCATTTAACAAGGGGTATCAACCTTTTATATATATATATATATTTATAGTTTCACAAGTTAGGTTTCTTTTGCAAAGGCTAGTCATTTAAAAATTGATTGATTTGCATTTATTCTGTCACTTTGTCAAAGTATCGTTTAATTGAATCCACTACAAAAAAATGATAGGTCACATTGTCTGTTGTAAATAGATAGCCTTGCTGGTTTGTATATTGCTTAAAGACTTGAATTTAATTTTGAAGATGGTGATGATTTAACTGTCTGTGAAAAATGTAAAGAAATACATGTGGCAGGTAATTTATTATTTTTCTTACACTGTAGTCAAGAATTGAGTCTTAATGGTGTAATGGTTGAACTCTTACAGGTATAATGGAGGATGTTCTTTCTCCAGGTGGATCATCAAAATAAGCGGTCCTCTTAATTGTCAATCATTCTGGTGATTCTGGTTTACATAAGGCCGCCCTACGTCTACATTTTCAGTTACTGGTGGTGAGTCTGACGGTGCTAAAATTGCTAATCTTCTTTTGGAAAGTAAGTTTGTATGAGAGTTGCAAACAGCAACTTTTAAACAGAGCGTGCACAAGGAGAAATGGGCTGATGCACGCTCCCGCATGCGTTTACCAGGCGTTCCCTCTCGTGAGTGGCTGCAGGGTTGTGCATGTGCATTTTTTTAAAGTGGAGAGGGCGGGTCTTTTCAAAAATTCAAGAAAATCCTCCACAATACCTTCAAGAAAGGCCCTTAGTAAAGCCAAAAATAAATTTCATAGGTAAATTCCTCAATAGTAACCAAAAGCCAGTTTTTAATGGCTGTTTTAACAACCTTTAATTTAAAGCCACCTTTTGATGAATATTTAATAATGAAACACATTTTCAAATACATCAGTGCCTAAAAAAAACATTTGAAATAAAAACGTAAAACTTACTCCAAATCTTGATATCGATTTAAATATAAATCATAAGCTTTTGAGAATATTTTAGACATGCAGTGGAGCAGACAGCAAACCCTTTCATTTCCTCTTCAAGTTTCAATGCCCCCGCCCCCCGCACAACCATGCAACCAAACTGGAATACTATCAGCAAACCTAATTTTCTTAGATCCCTGATAATGCAGCATAATTTTTTTTTTTTACAGAGCATCTCATATTTGGTGACAACATATCTTTTTTTTTTTTTTTTAAATCAGGCATTCATAAAAATATTTTCTCAAGTCATGTTTTTTTTCCCCAAGGCAAACTGTACCTTCACCATTGTATATTAAAAGTTAAAAAGATTTATTCTGCAGGAACAACCTATGCAGAAATATCGCTTTTATCCTCCGATTATTTTAATAAATCAAGTCCAAGGCAAGAAGTTGCAATGCAAAGCAAGGCCCAGTATCCAGTATGAGAGGAAGTAGCCCAGGATGCTCTGCGTGGTGGGAGAGCAAGTTTTAAAATGTGGAAGCAGAGCAAGGATGGGGTTCTGAGGTTTGTGCCCGCAGGAGTTTTTAAGATCAGTCTGCAGCTGCACGTTGGGGTTAGAGCTTTTCCTTCGATGGAGAAATGGCTCGTTGAGGAGGAGTAGGTGGGCGCTTATCCAGAAGGGCACAGGAGATGAAGAGGCCATGAATCTGGTGAGAACCTGAAACAAAAATAACTGAGTTTATAAACACCCATAGTTCAAACTCTGATTACAGAAACAGTGTGTTTTTTTTCTCCTCACCTGCACATGCATGCACAGGGTTCCAAACACTAGGAGAACGGTAGAATGCACAACATACACAAAGACTTTTGGGTTAAAGAATCCTGGTGTAGGTTTCTCCAGTCCAGTCCCCCAAAGTCCAAGCCTTAAACACAGCTCTGTATTAGCATGAAAATATGCATAGGCGGCCATAATAGCGAGGGTAGCCATGGGCATAGCCAGAATAAAATTCGGTATCTGCTTCAGCTCAAAGTAACGGAGGAAGCCCACGTCCCAGTAAACGTCCTGAATGTGTGAATAAAGCAGGGGGAGAGGTCTGAGGCACCAGAGGGGCGGCGGGCTGTTTTCATCTGGAACCCTGTAGCCCTTCCGCTCACCCAGGGATAAGAGAGCCGGATGGATCTGCTCCAGGGAGGTGGACGGGGTGCAAAACGTCCTGTAGCCATAATATTGGAAAGCGCAGAAGGGGAGAGCAATGACAGCCGTTCCAAAGAGGGAGGTGAACAGAAGACGGACCACCACCAAGATATAGTGGAGCACTTTACTGTGACCTTTAGTTGTTGCACGATACACACGGATCTGGGAAATGGCATGCAGTGAAGGCAGATACAGAAGAAAGCCTATGTTAACCAGTCCGTTTGACCGTGCCGCCGTGGCGATGCTAAGGGCTAAGCAGGCTCTGAGCGTGAAGCTTTTCTCCAGGAGGAACAGACCACCAAAGGTGAGCGCTGCAAACAGACTCTCCGAGTAACCGGCTGTCATGAACACATTGGCAGGCGTAAAGCAGTACAGGAAGCTGGAGAGCAGAGCAAGGCGTCGATCCTGAAGAACCACTCTGCTGAGGGCATAGAAGGCAACCACGCTCAGCAAGAAGAGGGCGCTGTTCCCCAAAGCAACAGCCAGGAGCAAGCGGCCCCTCATGCTGAGCCAGCTGCTGAGGGGCCAGAGAAGAGTCTCAGCGAGGCCCCGCAGCACGATGGGGAAAAGAGGGAAAAAGGCAAAGTTGTGCTCATATAGGTATCCTCTCTCTGCGATGAAGAGGAAGTGCTCTGCGTCCCAGTGGGAGAGGCCACCGAATAACCAGTCCACCGCAGAGTCCAGGTACAAGGCCTCCTCTGTCCGTGGGGGGCTGAAGGCATCCGCGTCATGGTCAGGGATGGCAGCATTTAGGACAGCCTGGGGAGAAACAGTTTAACTTTGTTATTATTCATTATATTATATTATACAGCTAGACCAAAGGCGGAGCTGGAGGAGCAGCATGATTTGCTTCGCCCATTTGGATGTAATTCATCACCTCTGGAACAAGCAGTTCTTCTCAAAACCAGAGGGTGGCAGCAGTGATCATTATTTTCAACAATATACTACAAATAAACTGGAAACATACAGACATTTTAAGGATTATTTTTTATGATTTATAGGGAAGAGTTTCTCTCTGCAATCTTCTATGTGGTTAACCCTTTATAGGGCAGCCGGAGAAATGCTTTGAAAATCCAAATTTCCAGCCAATAGTGTTATTAGAATCCATGACAAGACCTTAATACCTTTGTAACATTAAAAAATCTGGATATTTTGATGGCAAAAATTAATGTCAATGTAATAACAAGAAATGCCGAATATATTAAGAAAGATAAAAAAAAGTGCTTCAATAAGAAATTAATGAAAAACACTCAAAATGAAAGAAACATTTTTTTGGTACAGCATAACCTTAGAGTAGGGTTCTTCAGTGTTTTACAGGCCATTGACCCGCAAACTGATGCTGAGATGGAGCGGGGACCCCTAATTATACATATATTGTATGAAATTGTGTTATATCAAACTGGTCCTATAGTTACTCTGTTACAGATGGACTAATGTAACAAAAGTAATTTCCCCCTGGGATTATTAAAGTATTTCTTTTTCTGATTCCTAGTTGATGGGACAGGTGTTGTGAATGAAATGGTGTCCAGCTTAAAAGAGCTCCTGTGTGTCTCTAAATGTGTGCATTGATGACTGAAAGACGTCTTCTGCCTCCATTTATCTGTTTACTACAGTGTGTTATTCATGTTAATGTGGATTTAAAAACATTTCAATTAGTGGAAAAATTGCAGGGGGGGGGGGTATAAAAAAAAGTCTAATCAACCAAAACTTTCATAACCCCCATGCAGTACCTCCGTGGACCCCTAGGGGTTGCTGACCCCCTAATGCTGATGCTGGCACATACATTTTTTGGTTTATAAACCTAAATATAATTGTTAACTAGGCTTATTAATTTTTCTTACTTTACTTTTTAATTAGCTTTTTACTTCTTTTTTTTTGACTTATTAACTTTTTTTTCCAACTTTATTTACAGTAGATAATATATCATCCAAGGGCTCACATAATTGGTCAATGCCAAAATAAGATGTACTTGCCCTAAAAAGGATTAACGATAAATAACAATTCAACTTTCTTAATGTATATATTTTATAGAACCATGAATTAATGTATAAATATGTGCATAGCTTTTTTTTGCCATGAAATCTGTCCTGTCTTTAAGGATTTATCTGGAAATATAGATGTGCCCCCCACCCCCAGCATACACTGGTCTAGGACCGCCCCAGGTGGCAGTATTTAACGACAGTATTTAATGACAATTTAGAGTAACTGGCGTGGCTCTTATCTATTTGGTAAAAGCTTCGCAGATTTTTTTTTTTTAAGTGAATCATGACCAAATTAAAGACACTAATATGTCTGCCATAGTTTAAACAATCAAAGTGTCAGCCGTTATTAGGACTGAATAAACAAATAACTGACCTGTAAAACCAGAGAAAGGCCTCTGGTAGCCGCAGCGAACTCTACTACCGCTCTGACATCCATGGTCATTGATGAGACGAACGGCAGAAGGACGATTTGGTTCCCGCAGCCATCCGCACTGCTACAAACCTCTCGCTGTTTGCGTGTTTACTGCCATTCATCGCGGAGAACAAAACGGTTTCCGCCTAAATAAGCTTCTTTATAGATTTCGCTCATTCATTCCAACAACAAAGGTGGTTGAATACATTTAAGTATTTCGACTCTGATGTAGGGACTCTAATTGTTAGTCACCTAGCTGGTGAATATTTGCCCTCTTACTGCAGGACGCGTTTATTTCGATACACATCCACTTCCGGGTCACAAAAAGAGCTTCAAAATAAAAGCCTAACGCTAGCTGACATGCTAGTATTCGTTATTTACGCTGATTTTCACTCAAGCCCTAAACCTTAACGCCAACTAAATCAATAAGATGATAGTTATAAAAAGCGGAATAATGAATTAAAACAGAGCTGCGCTTTTTAGAGATTACATACATATGTCGATTCTTTTTAGTACATCCTACCGCAGTATGAAACGTCGATCATGACCCGGAAGTGGTCCATGCACAGCTGAAATTGGCTAAAAAATGTTTTAAAAAAGTAGGCTCAATATTTTTTAAGTGTTTTATCAACATATCTCATCTGCTGCAATGAACATACTATTTATTTTGTGATTACAAAACCGTTAAAACAGCTAACTTTCCGGCTGAAGTAGCCCGACGTGTTAAGATAATCTCCAGCAGGAGGCGCTAAAGACAACGAATCCTGCTTTGAAAATTGCGCAACAAATTTTGCTTTTGCTTCAGATATCAGGCCGAAAACGTATAATCTTCGAAAAAAGGTTTTATTATAAACCAGTTAGACTAATGTGCACCGAATAACTGAACTTTATTCATCAAAATAGACTGCATATAAAAACACCGTGGTATATGGATATCAACTATAATCTAACATCCCTAATGTAGCCTTTATTATGCATTTTTATATTAAACTTCTTTCATGCCATTTTTCTACACATCTGCCAAACATAGGATAATTGCAATCAAATGCAGCTGTTTTAAGTGTTTAACTTGTACTACATGCTAGAAATTCAATCTAGACTATGACGGTAAAGAGGATCTGAAAGTTTTAATAAGCTTAGTGGAAATTAAATTAATTAAAAGCTAATTTCTTTCTTTTTTTTTTTTAAGAAATTCCCATAGAATAAAACCATGAAACGGCTTAGGAAGATTTGATGTACATTTATTCTTACCACGTGGAACATATAGTATAAAGATTTCATACTGAATAAATGATATTCCTTGAGCCAAAAAAAGGGGACAGGGAGAAATTTACATGTTTGTCTTAGCTACATAGTCTGAAATACAAATATGCTGAATTCATGACTCAAGAAAATTTGTCAAATGTGTACTTCATCTAGTTTATTCTTGTTTGTACCAGGATATAACAAGTTTGAGCCGTGTCTGCCATACTACGGAGCTGTGGATGAGACCAGAGGAGTGGGTCCGATCGTGGAGACGAGGTCAATGACAAAATCGAAGAGCCTGCCTCCGTCTCGCACCCATAGCAAAACGTGAGAATAGTGACACAGACAGAGACAGACAGAGAGGAAGGAAGTATAATGTACAACATTATATATACACCACAGCAACGCTGTATCTGAAGTTGAAAACCAGTCCTAAAAGGTGATTCTTTTCATAAGGGTATTCATACAATCAAGGGATAAGAGGAGGTAAGGGTGTTGTAGGTTCATGATACTGTGGATGGGGGGTGGGGTGGGGGCCATTTTCTGTTCCAACACCAAACTTTAAATGACCTCAAAATTCTAGCTCACCAGCTTCTGTGTGAAACAGAATAACAGAACGCTTTACACTCAAAGAGCAGTACGGCACAGAAAATGTCCTACAATCTACTGCACACTGCACAGGCCTCCCCGGTGAAGGTGTTTTATTGACAGCGAGGTCGACTGTCGGGCTGACTGGTGAGGATCCAACTACAAACCAGTAGGTCACTAGTCAGGCTGTTTCACCTCAGTTACAGACTGGCTGCGCCCCTGGAGGGGGACAGCTAGGGGCACACTGCGTCTCCCAAACTCACTGTAAACGAGACAGCAACTTTGGTTACAGTTTTTGTTTTTCAGCTATTTATTTATTTAATCATTTATTTATCTTTATTAAAAAGTACTCTCACCCAACCCCCTCCCCTCCCCCCCAAGTGCAGAACAGACTCCTAACAGTGGCGCTCTCGGCTCCTTGTCGTCCATTTGGCATTCAGACTACGAGCAGTGTCCCTTTGTGGGCACCTCTCTGGTTCGCAGTCCGCAGCAGCTCCGTGATGCCCTCTCTTAAGGAGGATTGGCTTGTGAAGGGCTCGCTGAATGGAATCTGAAGGATTTTTTTGATTAATTTTTTTATTTTTTTATAAATTAAAGCCAGTTACGTGAACTGTTCTTGCACAGTTTTACACGCAGAAGCCAGGTTGGTTTTTTTTTTGTTTGTTTTTTCATCCAGGGAGAGGGGGGGGTGATAAAGAAACCCCTCGAAAAAGTGGAGCCATAGCTCCCTACAGCTGTCATGACTGGCCGATCAAAAAGAGTACATCACAAATAACATGAGAAACCAGCGAGTTCATTAGCGGAGACACAGAGAGGTCGAGGAGTCGCGACTCGTGTAGTGTAAACTCCGAGTGGTTCTCCTCCACCTTGGCTAAGGCGTGCAGCGCCCGGGCAGCTCGCCGCATCATGTCCGGGCTGGTGGGCTCGAAGGGCATCCCTTGGAGGTGCAGCAGGGAGCTCTGGCTCTGTTGTAGCTGGGTGGCAGCGAGAGAGTCCTCCAGGAAGCCAAGCAGGTTGCCCACGCTGCCCTTCTGGACGGCGATCGCACGAGCAGCAAGCGTGTCACCCTGGGCCAGGTTGGCCAGTAAGACGACGGCCATCTCTCTGCAGACGGCCACTTTTCTATCGCCGATTAACCGCACCAGGTTTCCGTACAGTTTCTCCAACCGGCTGAAGGGGGGAGTGGCCAATATGAGGTCCACATTGTTATCTTGGATGCTTAGTTTGCTTAGAGTCTCCAGAACCAGTCTCTGAGGGGACAAAGCACTGTGAGGGCCTAAGGTAGGGAAGGGGTCCTGGGCCTCTGCCGAGGGGCACACCGCCCAGTGGAGAAGACCGTCCAGCAAAGGCAAGCAGATGCTCTCAGGGTAGTTGGAGAGGTCCAGCTGGCCTGAAATGTTTGCCATTGTGACCAGTGTGTTCTCTCTAAGGATCTCTAAGCAGTCCCACCACCACTCATCCTTCTGGCCCACTCCCTCGTCCGATTCCTCGTCCTTCTCGTAGGTGAGCGGGGCCTGTTTGCGCTCGGGGTGCCAGTGGTGGAGCAGGATGAGGCGCCCGAGTATGAGCAGCAGTCCGGGATGTTTGGACATCTCGTGGTCATTTCCCGGCACAAAGGAAAGGCTGCGGACAATATTAGACACACAAATGCAGCGACGCGCCAACGAATCCTGCCAATCAGCCAGCGTGACGAGCGGTCCTTCGTCTTTACTGTGAGGCTCATCTTCTAAGATGGTGCCAGACTGCTGTGCTTGTTGGGCGAAAATACTAAGAGAGGCCAGAACAGGTCTATTATTCTCCTGGTGCCTTGTAGGCCCTTTCTCAGCCTGCTTTATCTCTGAAGGAGACGGCCGCTCCTCCTCATTGCTAGCTGTTGAGCCGGATTTCTCAGAATCTGTTGATTTTTCTTTCAAACTGCTCTGTTTCTGCCCGTCTTCCTCTATATGCTTATTTCTCTCTTCCTCAGTTGGCAAGCAGCTCCCTCGTATGTCTTCATCCAGTGGCCGTCGCTTCAGCAGACCTGAAGGCACGGGTATCCTTTGTCGTGGCTCTAAGAAGTTTTTACGCGGCTCAAAGAGGGTCTGGATGTGTTCCGTCGAGTCTCCTCCTCCGGCGCTCCAGTGAAGTAGTCCACTGTCAAACTCTTGTACTTTACCATGATTACTTAACTGGGCAGCCACAAATGGGTCTCTCTTTCGTACCACCTTAAGTGGAAACTTGTCAAACTTGCTGGCCTGCCTGGGTCTCTCGTGGGCAGGTAGAGATTGCGACGAGCCAGTCTGCTCAGATGAAGAAGCCTTGCTCTTCTTGTCTTCTTGTGTTTTCTCATCTCGACTTTGCGAGCACGGCTCCTGGTCCACCTCCTGTTTCACGAGCACCGGCCGCTCCGTTTCATGTTCCTCCTTATCTTCGTCATCCGTTTCCTCTTGTTCCATATCCTCAAAACGTGGTTGCTCTTCTTCCAGGTTGTCCAGGTCTAATTTCAAGGCGTCAGGATCGAGCAGAGTCCTCTGACCAGGGTCCCCGACTTCATATTCCCGCAGAATACCGAATATTTCTATGAGGCAGCGCCTAAAGTACTCCACCACCAGCTCCAGTAGCCCAGGTAACTGCAGTGAAAACAGAATTTCAAAAGGTTAAATCTTAAAAAAATGTTAGTAGCACATAAAAATAAAACTCAATGCTACAGTAAAACAAAAACTAATGTAAAAACACTGTCACTCAAGGTCGCTATGGGAACATCCTACACAATATTCATTTTCAAATACAGTGAGTACTTCTTTAGTTGGCAGGTTTAAAAGGAAAGCAAGACCAAAAACACTAGAGAGAAGAGAAAGCAAGCAGCAGAAGAACAGAGGCTTTAAGGAAGCACAGCTTTCAGACAATAGGATAGAGACTGAGGATAGAAACGGATCTCTCAAACTTTTGTTTCTTCTATCAGTTATCACATTGGATAAATGGGTAAGAATTGATGGCACGCCTATCCTTTAGAGATTAACTGCAAGTCTCACCGTGTTGAGATCGAAGGTTGCTATACTGTTGTCATCATACAGCAGAATATTGATGGTATCTAAAGCCCATGTGCTTTCAGACAATAAACCAGATTTTAATGACATCATGACTCTCCAGGCTTCTGGGGTTCCTAAAAGGTTTGAACACAAAATTAAATTTTTATCAAATCATTTTTTATTACTTTGAAACCTTGGTCTAACCATGTGATCATCTTCATACCGATATCTTTCATGGTGAGTCTCCGTCGTGTTTTAAGGACAGGTAGAGTTCCTTCGACGGAGCCAGGGGGGAAAGGCATGTCTCTCCTTATTAGAGGCGACTGCACTGGAGGAGGCACCACGTGGGATGCAGGGACAGGAGGGCCGGCCTTTATCATCTTCGATAGTCCAGGTATGTAAGGGGATTTATTCGGTGAGGTCCGGGCCTCCATAGGGCGGGGTATGGAGGCGGGGCTTGACACCTGTTGAATGTGGTTCTGCACACCCTGGGGGGGTTGGTAGTTGGACTGGACTGAACGAGGCATAGGCTGTCCAGGCCCCGCCGGACCATAGGGAGGCTGCCGAGGGCCCATTTGGGACCCCCACTGGCCGTCCGGATTCATCCGCTGGTCTGATTGCATCATATCATCAGGTCTGTTGATGCCATGGTAGCCGGGAGCCTGCGCTGGCCCCCCAGGACCACCCTGTCTGGGGTAATTCTGATAGTTCATATCTCGTGGTCCCTGCCACATGCCCCCCTGTGAGCCCTCAGGCCCCGACTGCATCATCTGAGGAGGCATGTTAGGCTGGGAGCTTGGCCCAGTTGCTCCCTGCATCCTTTCTCGACCAAATGGAAAGGGGAATTGATTGTTGGGGCCAGGTGGACGGCGGTCAGGGCCCGGGTAGGGCCCGCTGCCGCTGTACTGATTGTACGGTTCCTGCTGTCCTGATGATGGGGCAGAAGCACCAGCCTGCTGCTGTTGCTGTGGTGCTTGCTGTCCACCAGGGAAAGAACTGCTATACTCCGCTTCGTGGCGTTTCGATGGGGGGTAGCCTCCTTCCACAGGACGTTTATAACCCTACACCACAAAGAAATTTCAAAATGAGCATTGATGCCAAACATTTATTTATTTGATTACAGCGTATTGAACACAGTTAAGAGTTTATATCATGCTGATAGACAATTTACCTGTTGTGGGTACATTCCAGGTTGCTGATTTGGGTAGGAACCAGTAGGGGGCGTCCCTTGTCCAGGATACTGATTTCCATAGGAATCATGCCTGAGAACATCATGTTTTATCAGTTTTAGTGAGCTCCTTGGTGGCATACATACACACTAGGTTTTTTTTATTCATTTTTAATTTTTTTTTTTTTTACACAAAATACACAAACGGTATTATCATTTTTGTTTACAATTTACATATTAGCTTAATTCTAGTAACGCCTTGAATCTGTTTGAAACATCCATCTTAAAAGAATTAAAATCAAAGGCAAACAGAGAAAATCCTTATCCATTATTGAGCCTGTAGATAATCTGTATCCAGGAACAACTTTTAATTCAGAATAAAATTGGTGATTAAAAAAAAAAAAAAAACTTACTTTCAATTTTATTTGATTTAATTTGATAGCTACAGAAACTAAAGAAATGTTTCTGCCATATAGGACTTTCTGACAGCACCTAGGTCTCAAAGTCAATGCATTTCATGCAAGTCTTGCATACAAAGAGATTAGTTTTCAATAATAGCTTGTTTGAGGGCAGAAAGTCTGCCAAGCATCCTGCCTGAAGTGTTCTTCAAATTTACCGTGGCTGCTGTGGTGGGAAGCGATTTGGAGAATACATCCCCGTGTCGGGGTTGGCAGGCATCATCGGGTTTGGCTGAGGAGGTCCAGATCCCATGTTGCCCTCTGGGCCCATTCCTTGCTCCGGTCTAGGAAAAGCAGGACAAAAGACGAGGTAGCTTTTAGCTTTCTTCAAATAGTCATCCATGCACATATTAAATGTCCAGCAGTACCAGGGAAGAAAAAAACAACTAATATAGGACACTAATCCTAAAACAAAAACTTTTTAGGGTTCTTCTTTCTCAATTTTTTAATTTTAATTCAACAAGCCTTTTGTACAAATATAAACTGAACGACAGCAGCATAACAAGAAACCAACTTAGAAATAAATGAGAGATTAGAGTATTTCTCTGCCTTGATGATCTTTGCATTGTCTTTGTACTGAATTGTGCTGTACAAATAAATTTGCCTTGCCTTGCCTTGATGGATCATAAATATCAAGTAGAGCGCCTCAGTTTTACAACATATTGCAAATGGGATATATTTGATAAATAATTTTGCTTTTAGTTACGAGGCCGATGAGCATTTTATACTGAAATGCTCATCTCTGGGACACAGAAGCAGTTTCTTTCCTGAGCGGTCAAGAGATTAATTACGCACACCTATGCAGGTTAATGTTACTCACTGACATGATGGAGCTTCTCTGTAATATATTTACAGGTGTTCCTCCAGTTAGAACCTTACAAAAACATATAATCCATCATCTGGCTTCACAAATAGTTTAATGCACAACAATCAAGGTGTATGCAGAAATACTAGAGAAAATGTTTTATAATGTTTTATATAGTTCTATAAAAAAAACTAGTAAATATTCTACAACTAGTTAATCTTAACTGCTCAAACACAATAAAAGGTTTAATATATTTTCCATTTGTGAAAAAAAGACAAAACAATTAAATTGTGTAAATTGTGTTCATTATGTGAAATTATCCGTTTTGAACTCCATGTCCTACCAGGTCTTGCTAATAACAACCTTCAGTGTAGATAGCAACACTGAAAAACATTTAAAGCTATTCACTACACCAGCAAGCTGATCACAGAGGAGCCACTGGAAAAGAAACTATTTTGGGATGTGTGTGATGTTTGCAGTTTACTGTGAGAGAACAACATTTTTGGTGGGTAACATGAAGGCTAAATCAGTAATAGAACATTTCTACCATCTTTTCTACAGTATTGCTGGATTTGCTAATAATGAAATCCCTTTGAGAGGAAGTTAACTTTTTTAAAGCAACACAAACTGAGAATAATCCATCTGTGCTAATTGCTTACATATTGCCAGTTGAAAATGTGAACTTGAACATTAAATATTCGGTAAAATCTTTTTTTTAAACAGCTACTGTGTTTACTCACAGTATTACAGTCTCAAATTAAACAATGACTATGAATTTCAGGAGGTGTAGAAAATATTTTGGAGGTTAAAGCTTTATAAAACAAAACCCTCATCTTTGCATCTCTAGATAAAAATAAAACAATAATTTGCATTTTCACCTAAATAAAAGGTGCTGCAGTTTCTTAAATAAAATAGGAGATAGGAGAAAATGATGGTTTACGTTCTTCAGTGTTCCTTAAAATAAATTAACAATTCCTACCTCCGGTCATAGCCTGGTCCATAGGGGTACTGTTGTCTGGGTCCCATTGGCATTGTGCCCATGGCCCCTGGTGGTCCTCTGTTGAATGGAGGCTGTTGTTGTGGTGGCTGTTGGTCACCTACAGCGTTGTTAGGGCCCTGGTTAGCAGGCAGAAACTGCTCACCAACTAAAAACACAGTCAAAATTACAGAAGATTAAAACCTGATGAGTGGCAAATTACTCTTTCTTCACGATTAAAAAGAAGTCTAAAGGGTCCCACCTTTCCGCATGTTGCTAAAGGGGTCTTTGTTGGGTTCGTAGGGGCCCATTCGGCCTTGCATGTCCGATGTGTTCATGCCAGGCTGATAGGAGGAGTTGGGAGTCATGTTCTTTCTTGGGAAATTGGAATCGCCTCCGTCTGAAAAGGGGTCTTGTAGATTTACACTGCTCCTACAAAAGAAGAAGCAGCAGTGGCCCAGAAACAGCAGTTAGTTTGACCAATCCATCTATTTGTTACAAGGCAGGATACACTGATAATAGATACTGACCTTGGACCAGGTGGCATGGGAGGCATTTGGGCATGAGGGGTGGAGGCCGGCGTGGGGGGTTTAAGGTCGCCTCCCTCAGCCATGGAGCTGCTGGTGGACTGGGGTGTCTGTGGACCCTGTAGAGAGCCAGACCCGGCTGTGGAACAGAGGGACGCTTCAGTTTGAAAGAAGAGAGGAGCAGATATGGTACAGGGTTTTAATTAACTTCATTTTTTGGGAGGGAGGTGTGTCTCCTAGTCATGCATTTGATCTGAACAGAAGAGGGAGGTTCTAACCTGGAGAGGGTGGCTGGACTTTAGCAGCTTGGTTCTTTTTGTTGTCAGTGAAGATCTCAGGAGGAGGATCTTCACCACGCTCAATCTTGCACTCGAAAGCATACAGACACTGAATGTACTGTTTTTTCAAAGAACTGGCGGCGCTGCTGGATGTTCCCACATTTAAGGCGGTGGCTAGATCACGCCACTTTTTATTTTTATTCACCTATTATGAAAGAAACACAAACCCCAGTTAGAACAAGAAGACCCCAAATAGAACCGCGGTTCACTACGGCTCTGGGTGCCGCGTTTACCTGCATCATTCCTCCGATCTCTTTAACGGAAACGTACAGCCGGAAGAGGTCGAGGGGTTTGCGCCCCACGGCAGGCAGGTTGGTCATACCCATGGCTTTCTCCTCCACAAAGGCCAAGTAACGGTCCACCCAAAGCTTCCTGTCTGGCTCTGGTCCCAGCTCATAAAGACGTGTTATCTTTTCACATGTGGTTGTGGATGAGTTTGACTTCTGTTTGATGAGCCCACAAGAAATTAAAGTACTTGAAAAGAACAAAAACCCTACAGCTACTCATTAACTTCAATAAATACAAAGTTAGTACCTTTGATTTTGAATCCGGCTTTGGCGTTCCACTGCCGTCCACTTTGTTATTCATCTTATTGTTCATTTCCGGACTAGGAGCCATTCCTGCACATTTAAAAATAAAAAGGGGGGTTAAGTTAATTGCCACTTTATCAAACTTGACTAAGCCAAACTAATTTCTGCATATATTACCACTAGAGTTATTGGGCATGTTTGGCCCCATGGGATAAGGAGATCCACCTGGAGTGTTCATCATTCCAGGCATGCTGTTCATCGGTGGGCCATACGGTGGCCCAGAGCCCATCATGCTCTGTGACATGTTGGGGTACCCGGGCATTCTGCAAATGAAAAAAAAAAAAACAAGGCTGATCAGGCATCGAAGAGTTCAAGTGTAAGAACAATGCTAACTTATAAAAAGGGGGTAAGTATGGTTTACCACCCACGTTATGTCAGGGTCATTTAAAAATAAGTTTTCTTCTGACTATCACAGGGCTTTGAGTCCAACTCTCAAGAATGGAACTGATTTAAATATTTTCCACATATATTAAATTAAAATGTGCATATTAAACTATTGGGCTCTAGAATTCATTTTTTACCCAACTGTTAAAATGTTTCATCCATCAATTAAGCCAAATATGTCTTAGTAGAGTTTAAACCTTCCGCTCTGGTTCCAAAGCTATTTTTATTGGAAAATTCCATAATTTTCAGACTTCATTTCTCAACTTGTTAATCGTACTTCAGCATATCCATCAGCAATGAAAGGTGAGGAACCTCTGTAATTGTGTGCACTGTAAGCAAATATGGCTGCAGACTGTAAATGGTTAATGAAACCAGACTGACAAATTTGCAGCTCCCAGTTCGGCAACAAATTCAAGAAGATTTGCTGCTTTGCTGCAATACAGATTTTTGTAGGAAATCTGTATTGCACTTTATCCCCTGTAGTAAATCTAGACGATCAAAGCTGTTTGAACATCAATGGACTGCAATACAAGAATTTTAAATCCTATTCTTATATTATCAAATCATAAAGAAGAGCTCAAGTTAGTTGGACTGCAAACCAACCTGTTGAGCATGGTGTTGCTGGAGGGGTGCTGCATGGCTGCAGGATCCTGGGGCTTCCTGTTCATTCCTGGAGGTGGGCACATTGCTGAACTGACCTGGGGTGGCATGTTGCCCATGTTAGGAGGCATGTTTGGACCCATCCCGGGACCCATATTGGGGCCGTACGGACGAGCACCCATTTGATTAGGAGGCATTCTTCCTGGAGGCATGCCAGCATATGGAGGGCCTCCGCTCTGTCCTGCCATGGGGTTCATGGAGCCCATGCCTGGTCCAGGGTAGTTGGCATTGGGCATGTTGCCATAGGCAGGTTGGCGAGGGTAACCTACAAACAATAAAGAAATATATAAATACAAAAATAAGACACATTAGGGCAGGGGTGGACAATTCCAGTTCCTGGGGGCCGGTATCCTGCATCTTTTAGATGTGCCTTTGGTTCAACACACCTGAATCAAGTACTCAGATAATTGGGAGGACTCTGCAGGAACCGACTGCATACTGAGGAGGTAAGTCAGCCATTTGATTCAGTTGTGTTGGACCACGGATGGATCTAAAAGTTGCAGGATACCGGCAAGTTGTAAAGTATCCATTCTCCTTAAACATAAACTTTAATTCATCTTGTTATTCAATGGGTTAAACCAATCCTGTAATTTTTACATAAAAAAAAACACATCTGTTAAATGTGGAATGCATATATTTAGCATTGACAACTTAATTTTTGCAGAATCCTTTAATCAGTTAAAACTATGACTATGGTATGCATTGAAAAGATCTGCAGATAAACAGGCTGACATTTTTTTCCTTCCTTTGTAAAATAGCTCAAGCTCAGTCAGATTGGATGTAAACAGTTATGTCAATATTCCTGATCCTTAACCCGAATCAGGTCTGGAATGTTCTTGGACTACCCCAACACATGAATAGTATTTACTTTTAAACCATTTTACTTTAGCTGTGGTTATAGGCATAGAGCTCTACGCCCAGTTTAGATCTTCTGACAGGTTTTCCTTCAGGCCTGTCCTGCTTTAGTGCAAATCTTTCCATACATTCCAATAGGTTTTTTATGTCCCTGCTAAAAGAAGACATTCCCCCCAGCATCACTCTGCCACCACATGTTCTAAAGAGTTCCTGTATGCAGGGTTTAAACAGTGTTATAGCATTTTGCTCTGCTACACAATTCCATTTACGCAGACCAACATGTAGAAAACCAAAATACATTATTTTCTATTTTTTTATTTTTGCTGCCACTCCATTAGGGCCAGATTTGTGGAATCTCTGACAAATAATTATGCATAGTGAATCTATGCAGCACCTTCAGAGTTAGCATGAGAACATAAAACAATTGTCTGATGCTTTTCCTTCCCAGACAGCTGGTTTAGGTTATATGGCCATGGCATTCACTATCCATTTTGAGGTGATGTTAAGACCTTCAAAAACTTAGTCTTCTGCTACGTTTACACAAATTTTCTGTAAGAAACAACAGATTTCAAAGAATGGCCATATTCAGTTCCCGCACAGTAAACAAATTTTCAAGCTCAAACTTCAAACTTAAGTTTAATTTAAAAAAAATAATAAAACACTGCATCAAATCTACATTTGACAGATTTCAATAAAAACACAGATTATTTATCTTCCGCTTCACACTTATACACTACTCCGTCGGTCTAAACCCAAACTAAATATATTGCAGTTGGAGGATGTAATCTGAAACTATGAAAAAGTTAAAATCAATACTTTTGTAAGCTGCAGAAGTTTAAATAATAAAAAAAAACAAAAAAAACCTTTCAGTTCAACACCTGGATGTTTACTTGACATTTAGAACCTGTTTAATGTAGGAAAACAAAGAGAGAAACAATTTCTTTAACAATCTGCCAGCAAAGCAGCAAGCCTTCGTCACAGTTTCAGCTCCACTGACAGGAGGCTGTGCCACATCAGCTGACTCTTCACTGCTATAAATAGAGTCAGAGAGGAGGACCGGCAACATGGAGGAGATTTAGACCTTTAGGAATCAGCCCTATCCGTGGAACCTCAAAGAGCTGGTTTGGTTAAGGCAGGGAATTTTTAAAGTACAAACCTTGGGGACCGTACTGTCCTCCCTGCTGCCCGTAGCTAGCAATTGAATTGTTCTGCTGATAAGGCGCCATCCCAGGATGCATCTGTCCTCCAGAGGACTGGCGAGGCGAAAGTGCAGAGGCTGACTGGGGGGAGCCATAAGGAGGCATCTGAGGGTTTCTCTGCATGAACCCTAAAATAAGCAGGGAAGAGGAGATGTTGGGGATTATTTATGCAACAAGTTAATTTTGATGTACATGTTAAGTAACGCACGGCAACAAACCTCTGTCCTGAGCCATTGGAGACGGGTTCATTGTAGGGTGCAGCGTCCCATCTGAGTGCACACTGGATGGCCTGGAAGGCATCTGGGTCCCTGAACAATAACAGGTAGCTCCAGTAAGTTTCTGATTAGGCCAGGTGCAGTCAGACAACTGTTCTCAAACACAATATTTCATATACTTTGGGTTTGTTTTTTTAGTAAATGGCATTGTTTAAAATATTAATTCCACATTGTGAAGTGATTTAATCCTTTCACTATAATGTGGGGAACCAAGGATTGGATAAAGGATGATGGTGTGTATGATTTTAAATTAAATCTTTTTCAAATAAGAAATACATGCAGCTGGGAAATGATGCATGAATGCGATGGCAACGCTCCTCTGTGTGGAAGTAGCTGCTAAGCGAAGAGGTTTTAAAGTGGATTTGGCATCCATGAGCGGCTGAAAACTAAAAGAGTAAATGCAGAAGGATACGAATCTCTTAAAAAGACCATGCGGTTGTATTTTCAACAAGGCTGTTAGCTTAATTTAAACCTTTTGAACATCCCTAACCAAAACAAGTTGGATTTGGAGATGCTGGCAGCCTTTTGAAAGTCCCAACGTAAAAGTAAGAATCTACACCATTACCAGCAGAGAAGACCTGTGTTTTGCCTCTGGCCATTATTACATTGTAAAGTGACATAGACACAATGCTTTAAAGTTTGGTGCTTTTAAAAGATAATGCAGCAGGACACGGACAGCTCTGGACCCAATGCCTGCTTTATTTTGGATTCTAAATAATCATGGAGAATAGCTACCATCTAACTATTTATTTTGTTAAAGCTTCCTATATAAATCTAAATATAGCCCTCCTAACCTCTGAATGAAATCAGTAGGGTAGCTTGACTTTAACTCTAGCCTCACTGCATGAGCCCTTTCACAAAGCAAAAGGAAAAACGTCTGTTGATTCTTGCTACTGTTCTTTTAAGAAGGAAGCTAATGCTAACCAAGATACTGAAGAGTTTGAAATGTTAACCACATAACGATTTTGCCCTTTCATAAAAATTAAAGCAAAACCCTGTTTAAACATCTCTTTAGGGTTTATGAAAGAAAAAAAATATCCTAATCATATTTTAGGTCTCAAATACAAAGTTAGATTCTCAAAAATACACCATAAATGCTTACTGCCCAAGCAGGAAACTTAAACGAACAACATCTGTCATCTTGACCAGTCATCTAAAAGGAATAATGTTCCTTCCCTAGACGGCTTGAGAACTCTTTGCTCTTCAAGATGCTTTTTGCTTTTAACTAAACAGGAGAAAATGTCCACCTGCATGCGATACATCCAATCAGCTGCAAAAATCAAGTCACTGTTTTCACAGTATCAGAAGAGGCATAGCAGTCAGGCTACTTTCCCATCACATGCTTTTAGTTAAATATGACGGCATTGAGTTTATAAAGTAGTGTATAAAAAATTACAATCAATCCCTTGAAAGAAATGGAAAAAATAAAATGCAGCGTCGTACAATCATTTTAATCTCCTCTGAATGTCTTCAGCCTTATTTTCCTCTGAGCCAGATTGCCTAGAGAATCTTTTTAATCTTATCTACTGCTTAATATGTTTGCAAGGCTTTCTTTGGTCTTCCAGTCTCCAATCATCTTTAGTCCAGGCCTTGTTCCTGACTAGCAGAGATCTGACCAAAGTGCGTCCTTGAGAAAAGTAAAGAGCGCAACTCTGCACCAGATAAATAGGAATTAAAGAGTTACAAATGCTCATAGGAAAAACCGAATTCAGGCCTGCACACTTTGGTTGTCAAGGCTTCCGCTTTAGGAACGGGATCAAACTTTTCATCTCCAAAGGCAGATCATATATTTGGGAATGATGCTCCACCCCCCCACAAAACAAAACAAATAAATGATCCTGCTCAAAGTTTGTAGACCAATGGGATTAGCCAAACACATAAAACAGACCTTAATACTGTTAGCAATGGGATCAAATCTAGATTTCACCATTTTATTTATACAGACAATTAATAAAAGCAGAGATGTCGTAAACATGGCTTATGGGTCATTTGTGGCACTCAGAATCATCTTCTGGGATCTGTGACCACAATTGTTCCTAAAATGACACATCTGCATAATTGGTTAACCTAGATGGACATTTGAAAAGCAGTCCAATGACAGTGGGTCCCAGAGCAGCTGTGGCGATAATGTAGCTTGCAACCATCATTGTGTGCATGAGTGAATAACTAAACATAATATAATCTGCTTTGGAAGGCACTATAAATATGAAGTCCATTTCACATTTACAACACATTAACATCTCACTAAAATAGAGAATGTTAGGTACAGTGTAGGTTAATCAGAGTGTCTGTTAACTCCATTTGTTTGCCTTTACACCAGCTTCACGGCAAAAAGTACTACAAAACCAATGCTAGGTACACTAGTTAACAAGAGACTGCAATATCAAACCGTTTCTTTTTATATAAATAATTACCAACTGATCTCGTATTTAATAACCTCCTCCACCTAAAATGAATATAAAAACTGGAAATAAGCATTCCTATTAAAGCAGATTGAACAACTGGCTCATCCAAATCTACAATGTGTTATGTATGAATGACAGGATGGATTTAAGAGGCGAGAAAATATGTCCTCAGCAAATGGTCAGGTGCTAAAGCTAGAAAAAAATAAATAAATAAAAATCGTAAAAATCAAAAGTAACAGGACAACAAAAGTGGCAGATTGGAATCAAATGCAGAAATGTGTTTTTAAAAGCTAGGAAACATCAGTAAGAAACAGGTTGTCAAAAATGTCGATCACTCCCACGAGACCGTAATTAGGAAATTTCATCAGATGTAAGGAGTCTGTTTAATACATCCGTCTGAGAGCTGTCAGCTGACCTGGCAAGTTGGCCGGTGACAGCGGCCCTGTGCGGGGTGTGCTGGCACTGGCGGGGGAGCCGGCCGGAGACGGCGAAGGGCCTCGGATGCCAGGTAGGTGAGGGGATGTGTGAGGAGAGAAGGGCGACTGGGCCGGATTACTCTGCTCCCCCTGGCTGCTGGACACGCCCGAGGTGCTAACGCCAGGACTCAGTGCACCCTCTGTACCTGTGGGCAGGTCGTCGATCGACCCAGACAGGTCCTAAAAAAAACAACAACACAGTCGGTTCAAGACTATAAAAAAAAAAAAAAAAACACGTCTTAGCTGTAGTGATTTACAGTAAGCACTGCAATGTTTTCCTTGTTTATCAGCTGTGATAACATGACACAGCTCCTCCTCTGCGTTAACACACGAGTGGCACAGATTCAGATACTACACACGCTCACACAAATATCCCTGGAGGCCTTTGTCCTTATTTATCTTTTTCAGAGAGAAAGTGAGTGTGCATTATTGCCAGGCGTCGTCATGGTTACTAAGGTTTGTAAGATGTGAGTGAGCAGAGTCAGCATGCAGCGGCAGCCTCATCACCACATGATTACAATAAAAAAACAGCCCATATGTACTCTGTGATGTAAGGTACTGAGAGCGTTGTTTTAAGACAAAAAAAATACAAATAATAAATCTATCAATGCCTTTTCAGCTGCATTCCAGATCTCTAACAAACCATTAAGCAACTTCTTTGCCTTCTTCTAGCCTTCAGTCTTTACTCTGATATTCTCTCCCTGCACATACTTATGTTCTCCAAAAGTACTAATAGCTAAAATACAAAAGATTAAATAGGTGAAAAGAAAAATAAAATAAAAAAGTATTTCTTAGAAAAGACCATAAACTGATAGCATGTTCAGAATACTAGGATAAAAGAAGAGATAGGACCAAACAGCCATCAATTAGTCAAAATGTTTAAAAGTCACGATAGCAGGGTCACCGTGTCTTTTTATGGCCATTTATGAGTAAACAAGAGTGAGAGACAAGCAATGAGCTGCAGCTTGAATCGTTTCTGGTACTGTGATGTAAAATCCTTTCAATCAGATGCACGTCTTTAATCTGTTAAATGACCAAAGAAAATTTATGCTAACTGCTAAAATTAACAGGATAGATGCTGAGAGAATAGTTGAAGACAATAGTTCTACTAGTGCCTACTTTCTCCAAATCAGGGCGGTCACTAAAAGGCTGAAAGCACGAAAATAATTTATAACATATGGACACAAAACACCATCAGGCTGCCAGAGAGCGAGAGAGAGCAAGACATGCACCACGCCTAAGTTGCTGTGTTTTATCTTTCCAGTTTTCATCTCCTGTTACACCTGGAGCATCAGAAGATTGTTGAAATCTCAGAGTGAAGCTTAGTGGCTGCCTATTCTGTAATCACTTTCTCTTTAGTATATTCATAAAACCATAATTTACAACTACTACTCTTTCGTACACTCAGTGATGTCACCTCTGCAGCTTAAAGGAATAGTACACCCAAAACATGATTAGCCTTCATTTTCTACTCACCCCCATGCTGAACAAAACTCTGGAGTACTTTTTTTGATATCTCAAATGCATCTGGAGATCTGGGAGGCTTCTTGCTGTCTGCTGACATTCAAATAATGGAGGTCTATGGTGACCGAGACAGAAATGTCCATAAAAGTCCACAAAAACGTGTCAATATTCCTCCATACTGCTCGTCCAATGTAATCCAAGTGTCCTGAGTGGGTAGCATCCAGAATTTACTCGAAACGAAGTCATTTAGAATGTTTTTAGAGCATAAACAGTAGTGTATAGGATTTCCTAATAGCGCCCCCATGCGCGCTCACGATTCTACGGAAGCCGGCAGACCAAACCAGATGAAAGTGCGCATTCAGCGTCTGCTCTGCCAATAATGCAAGCATAGAAGAAGAAATGTGCTGTTTACCTGTGCAAAGAAAGAAACAACGAAAGAAAAATGTCTGAGGACTTCAGTGTTGAGGAAGAGCATGAGTTCTCTGCCGAGCTGAATGCGCACTTTCATCTGGTTTGGTCTGCCGGCTTCCGTAGAATCGTGAGCGCGCATGGGGGCGCTATTAGGAAATCCTATACACTACTGTTTAGGCTCTAAAACGTTCTAAATGACTTTGTTTCAAGTAAATTATGGACGCTACCCACTCAGGACACTTGGATTACATTGGACGAGCAGTATGGAGGAATATTGACACGTTTTTGTGGACTTTTATGGACCTTTCTGTCTCGGGCGCCATAGACCTCCATTATTTGAATGTCAGCAGACAGCAAGAAGCCTCCCAGATCTCCAGATGCATTTGAGATATCAAAAAAGTACTCCAGAGTGTTGTTCAGCATGGGGGTGAGTAGAAAATGAAGGCTAATCATGTTTTGGGTGTACTATTCCTTTAAGCAAAATACCTACGGATGCACGAATATAGCAAGCAAGCTAATTACAAGCACAATACATTTATTTACAAAATCCAGAAGTTTTTTGTTAAATTTGGGTCTTCCTTGGTGACATATGTGATGACTTCAGTCTCTCCGCTTCTTTTTGGAGGGAATGCTTTCAAACACAAACCACATCAATCTGCCAAATAGTAGATGCAGATTATAGCAAAAGAAGTGTTTCAGATAAGTTTAAACAGGAGACTTAATTTCTCATCAGCACACATAATTAATCTACAGGATAAAGCAGATGAGCAATATTACTAAGATGTATGGAGCTTTATACAGAGCTCCTAAAACAAATCAGGTCAATTAAATAAAAAAAAAAAAAGCCTTTTTTATGCCCCAATAATTAAACATTACTGACCGGAAGGCTGGATGGACGGCCTTGACCGTCCTCTGGACCAGATTTAGGCTGAGAGGATGCAGGGGCATTGGACTGAAACGAGTCCTGGGATATCTCCTAACACACACATACACAAATAGCTAGCTTAATCCCAGCACATATAAAGAGAAAGATGAGCAAAATCCAAGGCAGTGAGGAGGTACCTGCTGTTGTGGAGGAGGAAAGCGCTGATAAGGTGACTGCTGTGCTTGCTGCTGCTGAGCGTTCTGTTGGTAAGCTGCAGACTGCCCCTGTGGATGTTGGCCATGTCCCTGTGGCTGTTGCTGCTGCTGTTGGTGGGACTGCACCTGCTGTTGCTGAGTAGGGGTTTGCTGGGGGCCTTGTGAGGACCCTTGGTAACTGGATTGGCCCTGTGATCCAGGGGGAGCCTGGGAACTTGGCTGCTGCTGTGTGTTCTGAGTAGGAGGCCCCTGCTGCTGGGAATATGGAGACTGGCTAGGCTGCGTAGCAGGTGCTTGAGAATAAGGTGGCTGAGACTGTGGGGCACTTTGGGATGGGCCTGGCAAAGGTCCCTGTGACTGTGGGGCCATGTGGGGCTGTTGATAAGGTGGTCCACCTTGGTTATGTGGAGTTGAAGGTGGAGGGTGAGATTGCCCAGGGTATGGCGACTGTCTTCCAGGCTGGCCAGGTTGAGGCTGGGAGTAAAGGGATTGTTGCTGACTTTGATGAGGAGCCTGACCTGGCTGGTTGTAATATGGTGCCTGGCCCTGAGAGCCATAACCTCCTGGTCCCTGTTGGCCATAAGATCCCATCTAAAGAGAGAGAATATGCCATGTGCTTATCCCAAAGTACAAAGCAAGCAGAATCATTTACAGTCAGACTAAAGTCAGCTCATTGAACAGATATATGTAATACAAAATATTTATCTAAAATAATAAACACTGCCTGATCTCAAACCAATCAATATTCTAAAATCCTTGTATAATTGAGTTAGTAACTCTTGATTAAATACAAAGAGATGGTATGTGCAACGTCTTGCAAACTGACCAATAAATATTTCAATATTTTGGGATTTTCACAACTTAAAATTTCTGAATTAAAACAGACTTGCATTTTCACTTTCTTGTGTTTATTTTGGAAAACTCCAGAGCTGTAACAGCCTTTTTCTTTTCATTTACAGAGGAGAGGTTTGAACGACTTAACCTGCTCATGAGAAATCTGTTGTCAAACTTCAGTGGATGTATTTTAAGTCTTTACAGTTTGATAACCAAAGCGGTGCTCTAATCTGTCTTTGTATTTTGGAATCCTGTTTTCTGGTATCAGTTCATTTCACACAAAAATTGTTGAGATAGGATCACATCTTTAAATGTATAGATGTTTTGAAAATCTGATTTAGCTTTTATTCTATCTTAAGTATAGGGAATTGATTGCTTTTGTATACCAATAATGTGCTGCAATGCTTCACAAAAAAAGGGGGAAAAAGTACAATCCAGAATAAAATCCAGTACCTGTGGACCATAGGGCATTGCACCCATGCCTCCTGGTGTTCGTCCTTGCATGCCTACCGGGTACCGTTGTGGACCTGGTGGACCATAACCCTGTCCAGGGTACCCTGGCCCAGACTGAGGACCGGTAGGAGGCACCTGCTGAGACTGCTGACTGTACGGACTCCCTGCTCCATATGGCTGACCTCTCATTTTTCCCATTGGATCCATAGAAGCAGGGGGCTAAAATCACCAAATAAGCAAATAAAACTTGGATTAATTACACATAAAAATTAACACCGCACCTTTTAGAAGCCAATCTGACGTTTGGGTGATTATGCTATTAAATAGTTTGCTTCAAAAACTCAGTTACGCATGTCTGCAGTGCTGAGGTAATAAAGCAGTTTCTGTGAATGGGCAAATTGTGCTTTTCTTCACCTTATTTCCCACGGTCATTACAGACTTTTTTTTCCCACTTCGCTCTGCCATAGTTTCGGAAGTCAACAGAGCTATATATATCTGCTTTCGAATAGAAGGCAGTCTGCCCAATACTAAACATATCCCAGCTGTGCTCCTGTTTTGAGTCTGGTCCAAGTAGGGCCCCCCCCACCCCCCAAGAGAAGGCAGTTTGGCTTCGGATGAATGACACCAGAAATGAGGGAAGTGCTTTAACAACAGCTAAGGAAAGTGAAAACCATGAAAGAGCTCACACACTACAGTGACCCAGCAAATGCCAAAGATTTCTCTAATAGCTTAAATTGACCCTTAATGCCATTTTGATTTGTACATTGTGCCAAGTAGCGTGGTCACTCTATGACGCTACCTCTCAGCAGAAAGAATACAGAGTGCCCTGTGTGACAGACTGTAAATCCACCTTAATGAGGTGGAATAAATAAGCATGGCACATGGCTAATCTGCATAAAGCAGACAGGAAATTCCCTTGGTGGGTGAGAGACTGTGGACCGCTTTCTGATTGGCTTTAAGGTGGGGAGGTCGGGGGGGAGAATTTCTAGACACACACAAAGTCAAACTTGTGCTGCATGCCAGACTCCGCAGTCACATAGCTTTACAAACAGGATTACAATTACACTTGTCAATTCTCTCTTTTAAAACTGATTTACGGTTTTCTTTTAGTTTTTACCCGCTGATTATGATTTTGACCATTTTTGTTTCCTCCTTGCGACTGTTACAAAGAAGAAGAGAAAAGACATAGAAGTTAAACGCACTTGACTTAAATGGGAGATTTGGATGAGATAAGGGCTGCAACTAACAATTACTTAGATATCAATTAATCTGTTGATTATTTTTTAGATTAATCGCTTAATAATCGCATTGCCAAACCAGGTGAAACTAAAACCTTTCTGGATAGAGAATATTGACAGAAGAAAAAGGATTTTCTTTTTAACTTGCAACTCTCACAATTTTTGTATAGTTCCTGCTGGGTCACTGTCAGCTAAAGGCATGTTTGGGAGTCTCTTTTCTCCAGTTAAAAATACAATCAATTACTGAATTAGTTGACGATTATTTTAATAATCGAATAATCACAATTATTGCTGATTGTTTCAGCCGTAGATGCAGACATTTCCCTTTGATGAGTTACAACATGCATCCCTAGAAACATGGCCAGTCAAAAATCAAATCAGGCTTAAGTTTTAAAGCTTTACATTTAAAATTCTACTCAATTGTGTAAAAAAATGTATTTCTTAATTTATTTATTTCCAATATGCAAGAAAGCGTTCCAGAGCAAATAGGAATTCTGTCTGGCTGCTATGGAGCAATGGATTGCAGAAAATTACCAGGCAGCTGAATAAATGAATGGCATTTAACAACAAAGCTAAATAGGCCACAAATAATCAGATCAGTTATTCATACTAGAGATTATAGGCATTAACATTGGTCTTTTTAAACAAAATCAGTACCAGACTCTTAAATAAAACTGGGCCTAATATTATTAACCAGTCATACCCAGCCCAAAAGCACTGTTAAAAGCCTTTCATCAATTTTATTCATAGTTTTAACCTTTTTTTAAACCAGCCAAACTTGTCAGTGTATCTAAAACGCCATGACTGATTTAATATATAACCCTCTACATTAAGAGTCCATCCAAACTTGGAAATCTGAATCTCAAATTTTGCATTTAACAAATAAACAAGATGCATAAAAAGGAGTACGTATAAATGCCATGGTTATTTTTTCTTGCTAACATCTTTTATGGATATAAAATTCCTACATTGATAACCCTTTGGATGGCTGATGAACTATTTAAGATCAAGTAACTTAAATTTATTTTAACCACTAAAAAGAAAAAAAGGTTTTTATGATGGGAAAGCCAGTTTCATGGAAGCATTGGGGGAAAAAAAATATAATTTGCAATTAAGGTTCATTCATTTTTTTTAAGGTTTTAATCAGATCTGATTTATTTTTCCTCAATGGGTTTCCCAAGTTTGACCTAAAAACAATTAGCTTCTTCTATTGCTTTTTAAAAATATAACATTAAAAAATAAACTTTATTATAATGTAGAGGAACAATTAGTTATGCAGACTGGATCCCCTATGGCACAATTGGTTTAAAAAAACAACATTAAGGAAGTTTGAACAAAATATCAACCAATGTTTGTAGAAAAGAAACAGAGGGAGTGAAGTGAAATGCCTCGATGACCCTGTGATGAGCAAAACGCTGTGTTCTTATCAGCAACTGTTGCCTTGCATCACATGTAATTATAAATGGCCATGAGCTGCGGATGGGGAGCCAATCAGATTTCAGCTCGCATGTCAACCCAAGACCAACTATCTCCTGGCTTTGACAGTAGCATTTTACCTCCACAATTCAAATCCCACTGCAAACTGAGGTCTGCAAAAAAGGGCAGCTCTCAGACACTCACAAAGCGAAAGCCGCCCGTATAAAGAAATAACTAAATACGGGGAAGCGCGTCTAATCGATACATGGTCAAAATGTAAGAATTTACTGCCTTTTTGTGATATCCCCAGGGACGAATAAACATTTTAAACAGGACCCACACCGGACATTTAAATGACCGTGAAGGGCTCATTCGGCACGCGACGCATTCCTCCCTTCTACTGCCACAAAAATTACAGCTAAACGGACGACAAAACAGCGCAAACATAAGCCCGTGGACAACTATCACACCATTTGTAGAAGCTAAATAGTTGTAAAGGGCGACTGTAGTCGTAATAAACGCTTTATACATTTGACGTATTAAAAAAGGGGGAAGCAAAGAGTGCGGGAAGAAAAACGAGCCGTTTTCAACCTCTTTTCAAAGTCGGGCCTTCTCAGCTCCCTTAACATCGTTTCCCACAACTTATACCCCAAACTAACCCCGCTCCGCTCTTCAAACAGGCATTTAAAAAAAGAATTAATGTCTAATTTATAAAGTGGTGTGTTGAAAAGAGAAAAAATACACACGAGAGGCAGCCATTTTAGAGTCTTTGCGAACTACTATCAGACAATGGCTGGCCTGCTACGTTGTGAACTAGCTCAGAGGAGGGAAGCAGACATGCTAAAGCTCTTGTAGCAGTTAGAATGGTTGGTTTTACCTGGTTTCTGGCTAGAGGCTGCCCAGCACTCCCCGGGCTCATGGGTGACGGGTGGTGGGTTCTTTGTTGCCAGCCTGGGTTGCTCCCTGCGAACTGACCGCTACTGCCCATATCTGCTGCTCCCTTACTAGCTCCTTCCTGGCCGCTGTAGTCGCCACCAGACGGGTAGTTTGGATACCCTCGCGTTGAGCTGGGGGAGGTCAGAAGCTTGTTGAGCGTCGGTGTGGAAGTCGGCTGGGGGTTTCCGATGTTATATCTCTGGTTACTGTAAGATCCAGCCATTGCTGTGGGTCCTCCCGGTGGCGGCTGCTGCTTAGCTGGCTGGCCCCCAGCTGTCGGCGCCTGAGCGCTGCGAGGAGAGTTCATACCATAAGACTGGCCCGGGTGCGGAGTCCTGTTCGGGAATGGGTTGTAATTGTTAAACTGGTGATTAGAGAAGCCATGGTCGTGTGAATTGGGTTGATACGGGTCCATCATGTTGCTCGACTGCACACCCGGACCCGCAGCAGCTGCCATGCCAGGGCTTTGTTGTCCGCCATATTGATGAAAAGCGGGCCGACCGTAGTGCTGACTGTATCCGTACGAAGGCGGAGGGAAAGTTGGACCGTGGTGATGCACGAAGCCGGGGTGGTTGTTTCCGTCCGGTCCCACAGAGTCATTCGGGGTATTATTATTAACCCTGGGCGGGTTCCCATTCCCGTTCTTCATCTCTGGCTCCCCTCCTCCCCCTGCATTTCCACCGTCTGCCCCGTCCTGCAGATCCCCCCGGCCCGGTGATCCGCTGTCCAAACACGGCTGCTTTTTGTCGGACTGCTTCTCTCCTGGAAGCGTTTCTTCCTTCGGGTCTCGATCCGGCTTTTTAAGTTCAGAAGGCGGACTAGTGTTAAGAGTGGCGGCGCTGGCGACCTGAGCGGCCATGATATACACCCCCTCCAAACTCTCTCTCCCTCTCTCTCGCCTAGTCAGTCACTATCAAAAGCTAGCATTGAATATAAATAATTGTTTAAAAGCATCAACCCTTGTGTCGAATCATTCCAATCCCTTCATTCCGGACCGAATCCGGCTGCCATATCCCCCGGTTTAGGCTCCGTAGATAAGGTTAGAGAGGTGATGGAGGCTCCATACAATGCGTAGAAGAGCGACAGAAATTGTTGTGGGAGTTGTGTTACCGAGCCCGGGTAGAGAGAGGCAGGGAGCTAACCAAACCAACACGAGGCTCAGCTACATACAGCCATTTTACTGAGCCGCACGGAAGGCTGCAAAACGCGGAGCGGATCTCCTTCCTTGTCGGATAGGACTTTTTTTTCTTTTCTGAAAACATCACGCAAACTAAATGGAATATTTTCTCAATTTTTCGCGCTTAATGTTTGCTTAAAAAATAAAAAGATGACCAATAAGCAAGATGATGTTCTGCAACAAATATATCTTAAAATAAATAGATTAATTATTCTACAACTTATAACTGTGTAATTGTTTATTTCTCATCAAAGGTGCTGATCGGGACCGAATGTAACATTCAGAGGTTTAAAAATCAGTTTACACTGCCAAGATATATCCATAAAAATACATATTTGGTGTAACATTCGTCACATCTCCATGGTTTCATGGCTTTCCTTTCTCCATTTATGGCTGTCTCTCTGCGCTGCTTGGTTGCTGGAAGGGTATAAAATTAAATGGAAAAAATGCTAACTTAGAGCATCGTGGTGCAATATTGACGAAATTCACAGTGATGGAACGAAAGTTATATTCTTGTCTCTTTCTGTTTTAATCACCAAAATGTTCCCACTATTGTCCCTGTATTCATTTATTTATTTATTCTTTTCAATGGTAATCCCACTCAACTATTCAAACATGTTATTAGGATGTAGATCATACGTATAGGACTTGGAATATATAAATTTACCAGATATTTCATCCAAATAGTCCTCTACATTGGGATTTTGCATCCAGTGATACTATGATGAGGGCCCTTAGACTAGAGCATCATGGTCCCCTAAACGTTCTGCTTTTCCTAAATAAAACTGTATGATACTTCAATACATATCAACATTTCTAGCTTGGTATGTAGCCTTTTTTTTATTTGTTTTTTGTTAAACACGGGATTATTTCTAGAAATTTCCTAACGTATACAGGGAACCCCCCCAATGTTTGCAGTTACTATGCCAGACCTGAACGTGACACTGTAGCACAATCACTAAAATGTAGAAGAAGAAGAGAGTTTGGAGGTGGCTTGTTTGGGGTTGAGGGTTTGAGATGGGATCATGACGTCATGATATTTGACTGACTGAATAAGTTTGTGCCATTTCATAAAATGAACAAAGAGCCAACAGCAGTAACTAAGCCATAAATGTATAAAAAATATACACATTTCCCATTTAAGATTTAAAAAAAAATGTATAAATGTATAATATATATATATATATATATATATATATATATATATATATATATATATATATATATATATATATATATATATATATATATATATATATATATATATATATATATACATATCTTCTTGTTAAATATGCTCTCCACAAATGGTATTTCTAAACTGTGAATTATTTTTTGTTTGTTTTAGTGTGTTTTTTGTAAGTCCAAACAGTTTTTAATTGAAGCACTTCAATTTACAAAGAGTATGACTTAAAAAAAACAAAACAAAAAAAACAACAACACCACATTAACAAGTTACTAATCTGAACACATATGTTAAATTTGGAATAGTCTTTTTTCCCAGTTTTTGTATTGTCATTAAACCGTCACAAGAGCAGCAAAATTAAGTATATGCATTTTACCAATCCCCTTGGGGAGCAGTGGGCTGCCATTGTGCAGAGCCTGGGGAGCAGTGTGGGGGTTAAGGGTCTTTGCTCAGGGAGCCAGACTCCAAGTGCAATGCCCTAACCACTAGGCCGCCACTCCCCAAAGCAGGCATTAGCGTGAAGGGTCTTGCCTAAGGACCCACACTCACTCCTCCCAGCTGTGATACAAACCTAGGCATCCTGTTTGCAGGACAGACAGTGGTGACTTACCACTAGCCAGCTGCATACTCTGATTGGAATTGGCAGGATTCGAAATGAAAACATAATCTGATTGATAGGAGTGGTTTGTGGCGATTGACAATCTGATCGACATATATGTAAACGATTGTCAAGATCAAGTTATGGGTCAAGCTGACCTAAGTGCTCATGAGCATCCCACCTAAACAAGACATACTTCCGCTTTGAGGTGGTGGACGCTGTGGCTTGATGATATCAGAATAATCCAAATGTCATTTTTATATGACATTTGGCAGCCTAGTGGTTAGGGCATAGAGCTTGGAATCCTGAGGTTCTGAACTTGGACCCGACTCCCACAGACTGCCACTCTGGCTCTCTGAGCAAGACCCTTAACCCCCCATTACTTCCTGGACGCCCCACGATGGCAGCCTGCTTCTCCTCAAGGGTGTGGGTTAAATGGGTAAATTTCTCTAATGTGGAATCAATAAAGTTCTTTTTTTCTATTATTTATATGACATATTTTTAGTTCACTAGGCCAATTTACTCTGATAACATATATATATATATATATATATGTGTGTGTGTGTGTTTGTGTGTGTGTATATGTGTGTGCTGCTATGCTATATATGTTACATGTTATGCTGCTAAGCTCTGACTAAAGACTGGCCCTGACCATGAGGAAATGTCTCTGCACATGATGCATCCTTTGTAACAGGCAGGGTTGCTTTTATGTTTCAAATTGTACTTTGTTGTATTTTAGCAGTTTTTTTCATGTTTTTTGTTCTGTTGCATATAGGTTGCATCTGATCTTGTGATTCTTTTTAATTGTGTTTCAATTTAAAAATCAAAAGTGTTGGCTATCAATTCTTCTAATCTGTAGTCCATATCTGTATTTCCATTATGGAGTGATCATTCAAGGAGGGTAAAACAAAAAATTTATTGAAAATAGCCTTTGAGAGAAACAAAGCATAGATTCATACACAGGTGTGTGATGTTTAAAAAACCTCTCAAGCTCTGAAACACTTAAAAGTCACAGTGACAGAGGGTATGAGTATCAGTCTGTCTTACACGTGTTTTCATCATTTCATAACTGTTGCATCTGCTGGTTTTGAGTGTACTGGTTTCCTCTCAAACTGAACTCACCTGGCATCTCATTATTTTTTGTACTCCATTAATTTTTTTTTATAACATGGTTGTCCAAAGTGATTAGTTAAAACCAACAAGACTTGTGTTGCTTGCTGAGTGATATAGAAAACATGTGTGACTGTATCACAAGCTGTCTTACACATTATAGTTTCATATTATCATTATTAATGACATCATTTTTTTATAATAACACATTTATTTCATTACTTCACTACGCAAAATAACATGGTCATGTGCAATAATTGTAATATGGTACTGAGCAGCATAATAATTGTAAATTCTATTGATTATATTTACTGTGATCCTTATTTTACTCTTATCCTTATCTTATTGTATTCTTATATCTTACTTGTGATTGCACTGCCAGAAAAGAATTTCCTCTAAGGGATTCATTCAGTTATTATTTGGTCATGTTTATGTTTCATTGTGAATCTGTTTGTTTTAATTTTGCTTTATTCCAGGTCTTTTTTGTTGCATTTTATTATGGATGTTAAAGTCTCCAAGTTTTTACTTACAATGTGGGTGCAGTGTTTTGTAAGACATCCTATGTTGTGGGGACTTACAGGTACATATGGGGACAATCATGTGGTCTCCCTATGGTAAAGTTCTCTTCTTTGCATTGGGGTTAGATGTAGGACTGTAGTGTGAATTCAGTTTAACCTAGGGTTAGGAGTATATATATGTATAAAATTAATGTATGTCAATGAAATGTCCTTAAAAAACCTGAAAACATAGCTGTATGTTTGGGTTTGTGTGAGATTCTTATGGTGTGTTAAAGTTGACTATACCTTACAAGTTAGTGCAAAAAGTAAACATGCTAAAAGTATATATGTATAAACTATTAAAGTGTAATATGTTGTTAATGATTGTCAGTGCTTTTGGTAAGAGGAAACAGATTCCCATACAGCTTGGTGCTCGGTTTGGCTCAGGGTGACACTGAACCAGAAAAAGAAGTCTGTCTTGGTATAAAATCCGTCACATTATTTTCTCTCTCTGAAGCAAGGAAGAAGCATAGAAGTCCTCTTTCAGCCAGCTGACTGGCCATGCACAGCCTCAGGTGTCAGGGCAGCTTTCTAACTTTGTGCTCTATAAAGTACAGCAAGCTTAGTTGTATGTTAAACTCTCTCTGGTAACTTATTAGACCCAAAATATAGAAACGGTATTGTCATTCTTTACAAACCTATAAAACTGGATCTACACTTTGTTGTAGCATATATGTCATGTAAGCAGCCCATGATTAGGCCCGTTATGGTTAAGTTAAACATTTTATTATTTTCAAGACCAAGAAGGAATGTCAAAGATTTCTTTTAGCAATCTGTAATTGTGAAAAAAAAAAAAAAAAAAAAAATGCTGAAAAGCAATTTTGAATCAATCATATCTGTTCGTTGAGAAAAAAATAAATTAACAACCCAACCAAATCTTTTTTTTAAACATTTTTGTTGCTGTTGTTCTTTATCAGAACTGTTTCCAAGAGTATTTTGAAAGGCCAGGCAAACAGCAGAGGTTTTTCCACAGCACAAGGAGGAAGCTTTGCAGCAAGCGAGACTACCAATGCACATTCCCTCCTGTTCCCTCCCCTGCCTGCCTGCCTGTCTGCTCTGCTCTCCTCTACCACCCCCTCTGTATCTCACTCCAGCAGAAACACTCTCTGCTGTGCATGGGGGATGGGCACTCTCTCTCTCTCTCAGCCTGCTGCCATTGAACTGAACCAAACAGAAAATTAAAGTAGACTTTATCTAGCTGAAATAAGACACGTAAACAGCTTCAAAGTCTCACAGCTAATAAAGAAGAATGAACCATTAGAGCTCTCTTCTCTAGAGGTGAAAGAAGCAGACATTTTTTTTTTTGCAACACAGGGTGTGTGCTCTGCATTGGGGGGTGGGGGTGGGGGGGTGATTAGTGTGTTAAAAAGAAAGAAATGCTTTGCAGAATATTTAAAAACTTAAAAGTTGTAAAGAATTTAAGAATATAATTGATATAATTTCTGATTTTAGGATGTAAGTGGGACCAGAGTGCCTTTCGCTTTCTTTTCTCACTCTCTGTTCACACTCAAGCACACCACACACCTTCCTCTAGGGGGCTTATAGAGGGGGAAAGGCAGGAAGTAC